TTAAAATGTAAACAATAAGACGACATGTTTGACAAAAAACAGTCGTCTTCGCAGGTTTGAATTCAGTCACATCTCACGAACAGAAAGAGGCAGTAGGAGGAACTGCTGTTGTTTAAATAGTTCGATGTAACTACAAAAAACAAACTTTTAAACTGATGTCTAACAAAATACCGTTTGTGATTTTAAGTACTACCAACCATATTACCAACTTTAAATTGAGAGGGAAGTTTAAAAAAGTTCATTATGTCAAACAATAAAAAGAAAATAGTATTTAGTAAGTAGGATTAGAAAAAACAAACAACCAAAAACAAAATGAACCATCTGAATAATAACTGAAGTTAATCATGATAATTATAGCAATTAATAAAGGAATTTAAGACACAAGACAGGAAACACTCTGAGATGCAGAAGACCCTAGTCAAAAGTCAAAATAAAATTGTAAATTTTGCTAAGATTTTGGATCTCAGATCTTTTATTCAGATTGTTGTTATCACTCCTGCTGATATGTACCAGTTCTAAGAATGTTCTTTTAAATTTATTTTTCTCTCTGGCTAATATTTGTACATTGTTGAAATCTATCTTATGGTCTAGATCGATAGTATGTTCTGCTAAAGCACAAGTGGGTTTATTTAGTCTACAGTCACTCTTATGAGAAATGATACGACTAGACAGATTTCTTCCAGTTTCACCGATGTACGTGGATGGACATTCAGTACATTGAATGCAATAAACAACATCTCTTGACTCTAAAGTAGTTAGGGGTTGTTTTATTTTGCTATACAGTTGACGTATGGTTTTGATGTTCTTGTTAGCTATTTTGATGTTCTTAAATTCTTTGAATCCACGTACCACGTCCGTCCACGTCCATCCACGTACATTGGTGAAACTGGAAGAAATCTGTCTAGTCGTATCATTTCTCATAAGAGTGACTGTAGACTAAATAAACCCACTTGTGCTTTGGCAGAACATACTATCGATCTAGACCATAAGATAGATTTCAACAATGTAAAAATATTAGCCAGAGAGAAAAATAAATTTAAGGGGACATTCTTAAAAATGGTACATATCAGCAGGAGTGATAACAACAATCTGAATAAAAGATCTGAGATCCAGAATCTTAGCAAAATTTACAATTTTATTTTGAGATTTTATTTACAATTTTATTTCTAGATATAAAGCGTTACATTCACCTTGCCGACAATACAGCATTACCAGCACATGATAAAATGGCAAAAGTTCGACCTCTGCTAGCAAAGCTGAATCAGAATTACACACAGTGGGGTATTTTTCATGAACATTTATATGTTGATGAATCTATGGTTAAATTTTTTGGGAGAAATACCAGTAAACAATTTATAAAAAGTAAACCTATTAGATTCGTCTACAAAAATTGGTTGATATGTAGTGCCAATGGTTATTGTTATGCCGTAGATACTTATTGTGGAGCCAAAAATATTGATAAGAAAAATAGCATACCATTAGGATCACAAGTAGTTCTGGATATGATAGACCACATCGCTTGCCCATCTGACCATACATTATTTTTTGATAACTTTTTTACAAGTTACGATCTGTTGGAAAAATTTAAAAAAATAGGAATTAGAGCTACTGGAACTGTAAGAGACAATAGACCAAAAAAATGTCCCCTATCAAATGTGAAACAACTAAAAAACCAAGACAGAGGTTATTTTGAACATCAATATGACAAGTCTCGAGGTATATTATTTTTTAGATGAAAAGATAATAACATAGTGACTATGGCTACAAATTACGACTCTATAAAACCTGTAGCACAAGTAAAACGATGCTCAACCACTGCTAAGGCCAAAGTGGATGTTTCTCAACCTGCTTTATATAAAATTTTTAATAAGTCCATGGGTGGTGTCGACTTACATGATCAGCAACTAAACAGTTACCGCATCGGAATAAGAGGGAAAAAATGGTGGTGGGTGCTTTTTACTAATCTTATAAACATGACTGTTGTAAATAGTTGGAGATTGTATCAGCTGGCTAAAGGTCAACAAACTAGTCTTCTTGATTTTCAAAGAGTACTTGTACGACATTATTAAGGTGTAATGCTAAATCAATGTATATAAAATCCAGGCCTTCCGGAAATACTCTGCCTGCCGTTAGAAAACCGAATTTATACGAAATGTGAGGAACAGATAGATGAAACTCAGTTTGGCTTCAGAGGAGGCATGGGTACAAGAGAGGCATTATTTGCGTTGACGGTACTCTTGCAGAAATGTCGGGAATATAACAAGAGTGCATATGTATGCTTCATAGACTTTAGGAAGGCCTTTGACCGAGTGCAGCATATGAAGTTAATAGATGAATTAAAAAACATCAATTTAGACAAAAAAGACATTGAGTTTATTAAGGCTATATACTGGAACCAGAAAGCAGTAGTAAAGGTGAACGATATAGAAACAAATAATATACCGATTGCGAGAGGGGTTAGGCAAGGATACGTCTTGTCTCCGACGCTTTTCAACGTGTACTCACAGGTCATATTCAGAAAAGCCTTATGGGAAAGAAAAGAGGGAATAAGAATTGGTGGAGAAATCATAAACACCATGAGATTTGCAGATGACACGGTAATTATGGCTGAGAGTATAGAAGATCTACAAACTTTACTAGATGCAATAAATAGTGAATGCATTCAAATGGGACTTGACATCAACACAGATAAGACCAAATTTATGATAGTATCAAGGAGTCCAATAAATAATGAACAACTAACTCTTGGTGGACAGCAAATAGAGAGAGTGACAAAATATAAATATCTGGGAGCTTACATCAACACAGAATTAGATCCAGACCAAGAGATCCGGGTACGAATAGAAATGGCAAGGGCAGCGTTCTTAAAATTCAAACAATTGTTCTGTGACAAAAATCTGAATATTGCGCTGAGACTGAGGTTTGTTGAATGTTACGTCTGGTCGCAATTATTGTACGGGGTAGAAACATGGACACTAAAAGCGCAAATAGTTAAAAAGATTGAAGCCTTTGAACTTTGGATATACCGGAGAATGTTGAGAATCCCATGGACTGCCAGGGTCACCAATGAGGAAGTGCTGAGAAGAATGGGTCGAGTCAAAAAATTGTTGAGAACGATAAAAGTACGCAAGACTGCATACCTTGGACACATACTAAGAAATAATAAATATAGTCTTCTGCAGGTCATCATGCAGGGTAGAGTCGATGGCAAAAAGGGAATAGGTAGAAAGAGGAAGTCATGGCTGCGAAATATTCGAGACTGGACAAACATGACTGTAGACGAATTATTCCACGTTGCAAAAGACAGAGAGAGAAGCTTTTAAAAATGTGGTCGCCAACCTCCGTTAATGGAGACGGCATAGGAAGAAGAAGACCGTTAGAAAACATGAAGGAGGTCACTTTCCAAAAAAACTTATTAAACAATTAAGGTGTGCTCAGTGTCATCAAGGAGCCAGATGGAGTTGTGAAAAGTGTAATATAACCCTTTGTATTGAGAGAGACTGTTTCAAAACTTTTCATTTCAATTAATTTTTTGTTAAGTACATTATCTATTAAGTCGCTGTAGTGCCCAGTGTACTCATTTGGGTACATATCTATATCGAAGTAATTCTGTTTTTTTTTCAAATACAGTTACGTTTGAAGTTTTGTTACAAATCATATTACCAATAAATATCTAAATTCTTAAAATAAATAAATTCTAAATTCTTATAATATCTAAATAAATAAATTCAATAAATATCTAAATATAAATATCTCAATAAATAAATAAATTCAATAAATATCTAAATTCTTAAAATAAGATACCGTGGGCGCTAATGGGTTAAGTTCCCAAGAATTTGTAACTTGATACTTTTTCAATTTGAATGCTGTTTATAGTAATATATGCTGGTTGTGTCATGTTTTTACTGAAGACCTATATACTTGGTTTTTTTGATATTGATATTTATGCCATAATTGTTGTAAGCAATATTTATGTTTGTAAGTAATCTTTGTAATTCTTCTACTGTTCTTGCAACTAATACAGTGTCATGCGCGTATTGAATATTATTTACAACCTCTCCACTGATTACGATTCCTTCGTTTGCTTGCAAAAGGAGTTTCTGGCAGATGCTTTCACTATAAACATAATAGCAGCGGTGACAGATGCATCCTGTCATACTCCTCTACGTATTTCTATTGCCTATGATGTCTTATTTTCTATTTTTATGTTATTTTCCTGATTCCAATATATATTCAGAATTATTCGCAGATCTTTATTCTCTAAGTCCTTTCTTTCAAGAATGTCGCTTAGCTTATCATGGCGTACTCTGTCAAACTTTGGCAAATAATTCAAGTCAAGTCAAACTGGTCAATGGTTAAGGCTTTGAAAATTAAAATTGTTTGTTAAACTAGTTTGAAAATAATTTATTTATTTTAGTAGATATACTTTTTTTTCAAGATAAAAATAATATTAAGATGCCAATTTAGATAACAAAATTCGATTCAGATCAGAATAGAGTCGCAAATTCAAGAGACTGATTTATTTACACGTTAAATTGCCTGCTTAGCAAGTTTCATTTTATCGGTGATAATTTTATGCCTTCTATTCTGTCAACGATATCATTTTTTGTTTATTTGAGTGTTGCTTAGATTAGAACAAAAAATCCGTCGGATGGTTTTTTTATAATACCAAGTGTATCTGATCTAGTGAAATTGATCCGATTTTTGTGAAATTTTGTATTTTGACATAATTTCATATTTTGAAAAACTTTTATTAATATAATTCTGGCGTATTATTGACCGAAATGAATTTTTTTCTCAACTGTCACGGACAACTTGAATTTTAAAAAGTAAACATGTACTTGAAATTATTTTCAGATCAAGCAAGCCGGGACCCCAAAACATCAATACAAGCATAAAAATTTTGTATAAAAGTATAAGAGTTTAAAAAAAGTAGTGTTAAAATTGTTGCCCACTCAGTTAAACAATACTTAGATATTTTATCACCAGTATATTTTTAGGATGAAACCAATTCGTTTTTGTAACAGAGCGTTAAGTCCCGTAAAAATTAACCAATCAGTAAGTGAGAAAGTAAATTCAACTGAAATTCTTTCGGTAAGTTCCAGTTAGATTTTTAAAAAAGCATTGCATATACTTAATTAAAAAAAATATTTTGTAGATCAAAAGCTCTCGATTTTATAGTGGATCTAAAGAAAATATACTCCCTTGTAATTTTACCCTACAAGAACAACATAACAAAGATGAAGATCAGTATAAAGTTGGTAAAAAAAAACCGCTAATGAAATATTACCGATTTAAAATTCTAATGCATCTGACATTTCTTCCGTAAGTTTAACATTTAAGAGCATTTTATTCTCAAATATGAACAGTATGCGGCAAAATAAACAGTACTAAAATGCGTATGCCTCAGATTTGTATGTGTCATGTGCCGAAACGTATTAAATGATTTCTGAACGTCGTTATAACTTATGTGAATGTCATGATAATGTTAGGTGCTTCAGGATGGTTCTCAGTTTTGCAGAAAATTTTTTTATCGTGAAGTACTATTTTCGATCATACGAAAAGGTCGCGAAATCGGTCCAAAAAGCTTAAAATCAACAATAGTTTTAGCAGGACGGGCAATCTGTCACACGGTCAGTGAGTCTCTTCGAATACTGTTCAGTGATTTTTCATACATATCGCAATTATCAGGCCTAACCTAACGAACACCACATGATACGTACATATGAGGAATGCTGAAGGAGGCAGACCGATACAATGTCTGACATTCCGGAATAACAAACTCCAATTAGATTTTTTTAGTGCCAGATGGCATCTTTATTATCTGTTTTATCGGAAACGTCGTCGTGAATAATGTTGGTAAGGCTATATTATCATGTATACTAAATATATAGATATTCATATACATTTCAATATTCATTTCAGTACTGTTTATTTTACCGCATACTGTATTTCCCTACTTCAGTCACTTTTTACTATGAAAAATAATTTTAGGAAATATCCTTAAGTTCCCCTCAATTTTATGGTTCACCTGACAGTATCTTCACACCTGAAGAAAGTGATAAAGATAACACAGATTCTCCAGCTCCCTCACCAGCTTCGGCTGAAATGTTACGATTCCAATTATGTTCCCTTCGATGATTCTTCAGTAAGTGCAATAAAACTTTTAAAAGAATAATAGTACATTGTTTACCGGGTAGGAAAAGCTTAACATTCCTGGACGACTGTGAAGATTGCTAAGTCGAGGCGCAAGCCAAGACTTAGCAACACAGAGTCCAGGAATGTGGCTTTTCCTACGAGGTAAACATACTATTTTTCCGCAAATCGTTTAAAATTCGACAGATATTGATTGATTTAAAAAAAAACGCGATAATTTTATTCCCAAATAAATGGTGCTTTGAAATTCCTAATAAAATTACTTGGGTTACTATGGAAACGTATTGAGGTTGAATTGTCAAACTTGACGCTTATAAATTTAATTGCTGGTGTTCTCGAAAGTAAAATGATAAGTGATGATGAAATTTCCATTCCTGGGACTCCTCCAGAGCTGGTTGAGGCAGTGAATACTGCTTCATTAGAATTATTGCCAAAGAAATCAAGAGAAAAGTACGAAAATGCATACAGACGTTTTATGGATTATCGCATGAGTAAAAATACGAGTTCTTTCTCAGAAAATGTTGTAATGGCATACTTCCTAGACCTTTGTTTAAAGATGAAATCTTCAACATTATGGGCCAATTATTCAATGCTGAAGTCAACCCTTGCACTTAAACACAATGTAGATATATCTACATACTCAAAACTTCGTTCTTTATTGAAACGGCAAGCTCAAGGTTATAGGGCAAAGAAATCTAAGATTTTAACGAAGGAAGAAATTGAAAAATTTATCCAGGAAGCTCCAGATAAAGAAAATTTAATGATTAAGGTAATTTACAAGGTTTTAATTTCTATTTAGATTATAGCTTTATTTATTTTTTAGGTGGCTGTAATATTTGGTATTTCTGGGGCCTGTAGAATGGATGAGTTAGTCCGAATGACTGTACACGATATAGAAGACTTAGAATCTAAGCTTTTAATCAGCATACCTGATTCGAAAACCAACAAACCAAGATCATTTGTAATTAATCAGATCTACTTGAATGTTTATCGAAAGTATGTTTCGTTAAGACCAGAAAATATGAACAGTGACCGATTTTTCTTTAAATATCAAAGCGGAAAGGGTTGTAGACAAGTGGTAGGAATTCATCAATTTAGAAAAATGCCCAAAATAATTGCTACTTATTTGAACTTGGTAAATCCGACAGAATATACTGGTCACTGCTTTCGTCGGTCTTCTGCAACAATATTGGTTGACTCTGGTGCCGACATAACTAGTTTAAAGAGGCATGGCGGATGGAAGTCATCAAACGTTGCTGAAGGATATATCGAAGAATCGCTTAACAATAAGGTTGAGGTGGCAAATAAAATTTTCACAGTACAAAATATTCAACAAAATGACACTTCCACCCTGCATGTTGTCCAAAATGTTTCTCATAGTTCTAAGAGTGTTCCTCCAATGTTCAATAATTGTACTAACTGTCAAATTACTGTAAATATAACAAATTGATCTTAAAAATGTATTCAGCAATGACTTGATGTTTTCAAAATATAAATTAATTCCTTATAAGCAATGTGTTTTCTATCATTTATGTAGAACACTAACAACTGTACGGAAATATCATTTCCTTACAGTAAGGAAATGACATTTCCTTACAGTAAGGAAGTCCTGACTTTTTCTTCAAGAAATTTTGACAGAGATGTCAAAATTTCCTGGCGATTTGCGGAAAAATGTGTTGTGTACTCTGTAATATTGAAATGGATAACGGAAAAAATATAATATTTTTTTAATTGGGTTTTTAGGAAAAGTCTTCAAGTTCTCCAGAAATAAATAATTTCTCTTCCCACATTTGTCCAAACCAAGTTAACAAAGATGAGTCAAATATTTAGGCAATATAATTTAAAGTACATACTTTTTAGGAACAATCTAATTCACCTTTGTCTTCTGTCAGCCTAAATATCCATCAACATGTGGAAGAAACTTGCAATATAAATACAAGTCTTTAAAAAAATCTGTTTTTTGTTACTTTTGTGAATCAGTTGTATTAAATTTTCCTAGACATACACTACGAAATCATCAAAGCGAATTAGAAGTTCAAACAATTTTGGTTTACCCTTCAAGAAGTAAAACGAGAAAGCAATTGTTATTTGTTTTGAGAAAAAAGGAAAACTATTTATTAGGTTCTACAACTTTAAAACCAGTTAGGAAAGGATCTGCAGATACAAACTACCTACCGTGTGACCACTGCTTCGGCATGTATTTGGCAAAAAACTTCTTTGGCGTCACAGAAAAATATGTAATCCTAATTCAATAACCAGAAATTCCCAATCACAAGCACAACATTTCTTATTAAGGCACCTTAAATTGGACATATGTTTAAAAGAAACTGTTTTTCCTCGAATGCGAGCAGACAATGTATCACTCGTGGCTAAAAAAGATCCGCTCATTTGTGCGTTTGGCTCAAAATATTTGAAGATCCATAGAGAACAACACTTTATGCCAGTAGCGTCAAGAAAAATGAGGGAATTAGCTAAAATTGTTATCGACTAAGAAAAATAGTTCTCAATCAAACGCTTTTTGACATTACGAATAGTTTGCAAAATAGTCAAAATGATAACGAAAGCAAAACTTTTAAAGCCCCATCATTTGCTAAAAGTATTGGCACTACATTAAAACAGTGTTGTGATATAGCACTTATGTTTAATGTGAAAAAGTCTGAGTTTACAGTTAAAAGTGCCAGCGCTAAAGCTGACTTAAAATCTTTAATACAAATAATAGAAGGAAATTGGAAATATGATATTTCCAGTCAAGCTGCAAATGATTTAGACATGGAAAATGGAACAAAGTGATGTTAATACCACTAGCAAGTGACCTTAATCTATTGAAAAACTATTTCGTGCGAAGGGCAAATGAATCTTGTGATAAATTACAGAAAAATAATAATGATATTAATTCTTACATGTTTCTGTTAGAAACTATATATTGCCGTCTAATCTTATTAAATAGAAGGCGCCCTGGTGAATTAGAAAGAATGACCATACAGAGTTACATTAGCGCTAAAGATAATCAATGTTATGAAGAATTTTCTGAAGCAATTTCAGAAACCGAAAGAATTTTAATGAAAAGTTTTAAAAGAATAGTAATAAAAGGTAAAAGGGGACGTGGTGTACCTGTCCTAGTAAGTAAGGATGTACAAGAACACTTAGAAATGATTACAAAATGTAGAGATTTACTTTTAAAAACACCTAGTATTTACCTTTTTGTTAATCCAAAATTTGATAAACCAATTCGAGGGTTTGAAGTAATGTCAAAGTATGCTAAATTATGCGGAGCTAAAAATCCTAGTGCCCTTACATGTACAAGGTTGAGAAAACATATATCGACGCTAACCCAGTTGTTTACCATGTCGGAAAATGACATGGAGCAACTGGCTTTATTTATGGGGCACACATTAGGAATTCATCGATCTTCATATAGACTACCCGATGACATTTATCAAACTGTAAAGATCTCTAAGTTGCTCCTGTTAATGGAGAAAGGTAAAGCCGATCAATTCAAGGGAAAAAGTTTAAAAGAAATAGCGATAAATTTGGAAGAAGACATTGTGGAAGATGATGATGGACATAATAACGAGGTATTTGGGGAACAAAAAAATGAAACCAATGACGTTATTGAATCAAAAGGTCCAGAAAGTTGTAATAATGAAAAAAAGGGAATAATGGATATGAAGGCAAAAAATAAAAAAGGGGTTTTAGTTTCGTGGACAGAAAATCAGAAGAAAGTAGTCAAAATGTATTTTAAAAACCCACATTAAACAAACGAGGCCCCCCAAAAAATCGGAATGTGAAGATCTGATTATAAAAAATCCTGATACATTAAAAAATAAAAATTGGCTCAAAATAAAGGTCTTCGTTCAAAATGAATATAAAAAGTGTTAAATGTCCAAGTTGTTTTCGAAATTCAGTTTTTGCAATATATTCTGAGTTTTCGTATTTTTATTTGTGTTTATATATTCAGTTTTGTTCATATTTTTATTATTTGTTTTTAAATATAAATAATGATTAAAATTAAAAATTAATTAAAGATTTATAACGAACATATTTTATGAACATATATAAAAAACGAACATTTTTTGTTTTTCGTTATTTCTTTCCATATTCCAATATATACATACATACATATATATATATATATATATTATATATATATATATATATATATATATATATATATATTATATATATAAAGGAAGAATGATCACAGCTGTCCAATTATTAATTAGTATAATGGTAAGGTTAATTGGGTTAGCAGCTGAATAATGAAAGCCAAAGTGTGCTCTTTTCAACGACTTCGTTATATTTCGTTAAATTTCTTTAACATCTTCAGACGAATGCTACAATATGTTACAAAATGGTGAAATTGTGTATTTTACATAAGATGTAGTGAAACACTTACTTGTGTGAGGTTGCAGGCAACAGTGGTATTTGAAAGTTCCATGTTGAAAAACTTTTTTGAAGATTTTTTTTATAAAGCAAAAAAAATATAAGTTGTATGTGTTATATGGTGGCTTGAAAACTCAAACAATACAAGTGCATTTTTGTTATTTTTCTCCAGTGTGATAGTACAATACAAATATTAAAAAACATTGAACATTTAAGAAACAAAACAGTTAAAACACAACTACATATCACATTGTCATTTTTTGGACCAGTCTATTCACCTATGCACAAGGAGGTGAAAATTTAGTGTGTACCTCAAGGTTAAAGTGTCTTGTCAGCTATCATATTAGTAGATGTCAGCCAGAAAACTAAAGCTGTGTTCAGTTCATGTGTAAAGTTACATTTAATTGAAAATTATGTTATGTTAATTTAAGACAATTAAATTCTGTTGTTAATAAATATATATAGAATTTATTTATTTCTTTGTGATTATTTCTTTTAAAGTTATTTTAATTGTTGTTATTACTCTTAAGAATTTTATTTCCTGGAAAAATGCAACAATTGCAATAATAATGATTAAGTTACTACTTCTATTGGATGGTCAGAAGAGTTTTGATAGACAATATTATACTATTCAGAATATTCCAGTTCGTTGACTTGATTATTTTTTGTTTCCAACTGTAGTAGAAAGGAATAAATTTCACTAAGGTGTTGTATATCTGATTTGGTGTTGATTATATTATCTGTTGTTGCTATGTGTTTTACACAAACCAACATTATCTGTTAGACCTATAGTATCATCAATAGGAGCTCCTACTGAGAATATTGCTGGTTTTATTACTGAAATCCTAACCTCTGCTTATGACTGTAATAATGATTACTACATAAAAGATTCTTTTGAAGTTAACAATAAATTTAATAGATTACAACTACCTCAAGGTTATGTGTTGGTTAGCTTGGATGTGGTTTCCCTATTTAGTAACGTTTATCTTGAAGCTTGCATCAGATCATTAAATAAACATTGGTCAGAAATTAGTAGACATTGTACAATAGATAAAGATATGTTCATAAACTTAATCACCTTCTTATTCAATAATACCTATTTTTCTTTTGACAACACATACTACAAACAAACTTTTGGAACACCAATGGGAGCAAAAATTAGCCCCATTCTTGCTGCATATGTAATGGATGACCTGTTAGACACAATCATTCCAGTACTACCTTTCAACCTTTTCTTTTTAAAGAAATATGTAGATGACATGATCTTAGCTGTACCCAACAATATGATAGATGAACTACTATTTATATTCAATAGCTACGATCCTTACATACAATTTACCATGGAAGTCGAAGATGAAAATCAATCTATTCCTTTCTTAGACACTAAGTTAATCCGCTCAAATGATAACATCATTATAGTCGATTGGTACACAAAATCAATGAGTTCAGGCAGGTACATTAACTACATGTCCTATCATAAACACTCCACCAAACTAAATTTAGTAAAACAAATGAAAAATAGGGTTCTACTAATTTCAGATATATCATTCCATCAAAAGAATCTCAAAATACTTTATGATCTCTTTATAGATAATTCCTATCCACCTCTTCTTTTAAAAACACTTTTATATAATACTACATCAGTAACATCTATCAATCTAACTACCTCCCAACATTCTAACATAGCAAGTACAAATTCACATAATACGGTTACCAGTCAAACCCTTCCAACATATTGTGTGCTGCCCTACATACGGGAACTAACACCAAAACTAACTAGAATCTTTAAATCATATGATAACATCAAAATAGCCAATAAAACAGTTTTAACAGTAAACTCTATTTTCTCAAAAATGAAAGATCGTACTCCGCATGACCAAATATCTAATGTTGTTTACAGTATTCCTTGTATGGACTGCAATGGCAAGTATATCGGCCAAACCTCTAGACGTCTTAAAGACCGTGTTACCACTCACAAAAGTGACTGTAGACTTTACCCAGATAGATGCACCCTAGCCAACCACGTTCACACCCAGAACCACAGAATGAATTTTGCAGATGTCAAAATCCTCGAAAAAGAAACAGCTTATAAGAGAAGACTTTTTTTAGAAATGACCCACATAGCAACAACAGATAATATAATCAACACCAAATCAGATATACAACACCTTAGTGAAATTTATTCCTTTCTACTACAGTTGGAAACAAAAAATAATCAAGTCAACGAACTGGAATATTCTGAATAGTATAATATTGTCTATTAAAACTCTTCTGACCATCCAATAGAAGTAGTAACCTAATCATTATTATTGCAATTGTTGCATTTTTCCAGGAAATAAAATTCTTAAGAGTAATAACAACAATTAAAATAACTTTAAAAGAAATAATCACAAAGAAATAAATAAATTCTATATATATTTATTAACAACAGAATTTAATTGTCTTAAATTAACATAACATAATTTTCAATTAAATGTAACTTTACACATGAACTGAACACAGCTTTAGTTTTCTGGCTGACATCTACTAATATGATAGCTGACAAGACACTTTAACCTTGAGGTACACACTAAATTTTCACCTCCTTGTGCATAGGTGAATAGACTGGTCCAAAAAATGACAATGTGATATGTAGTTGTGTTTTAACTGTTTTGTTTCTTAAATGTTCAATGTTTTTTAATATTTGTATTGTACTATCACACTGGAGAAAAATAACAAAAATGCACTTGTATTGTTTGAGTTTTCAAGCCACCATATAACACATACAACTTATATTTTTTTTGCTTTATAAAAAAATCTTCAAAAAAGTTTTTCAACATGGAACTTTCAAATACCACTTTTGCCTGCAACCTCACACAAGTAAGTGTTTCACTACATCTTATGTAAAATACACAATTTCACCATTTTGTAACATATTGTAGCATTCGTCTGAAGATGTTAAAGAAATTTAACGAAATATAACGAAGTCGTTGAAAAGAGCACACTTTGGCTTTCATTATTCAGCTGCTAACCCAATTAACCTTACCATTATACTTAATATATATATATATATAGATATATATAGATATACATATATATATATATAACCGAATATAGATATATATGATATATATATCATTATATCTATATATATATATATATAATATATATATATAATATAAAATTATATATAATATATATATATTATATGTATATATATATATTTCGCAAAACTATTTTAATAACGATTATATATATAATAACATATATATATATATATATGATAGTATATACAATATATCTATGATATAAATATATTATATATATATATATATATATGATATATAAATTTGTATATGAATATGTTAAAATCGAGAAAAATATTGGTTTGCTTAAAATATTTCAAAGTTCCAAAAAAATTAAAATAATTCAGATAAGTAGGATAATAAACAACAAACATTTCGAAGAATGAAAGTCTTTTAATTTTGGATTACCTGTATTGAACAAAACGTAAGATATGCATAAATTATTTTCTTTGTTAAAATATATTTGAGTGACCTGCATAAGCTTAAGTGAAATCCTAGACAATGGAAGCGGTTTTTCCAAATAAATTTGTGCAGTAATTAGGACAATAGAATAGATTTTAGAAAGATATGTTTTTGTTAGTTCATAAGAATTGGTAGAAAAAGATTAGTTTGTAAATAAGTTTTAGGAAATTTTATAATTGTAGGTAAAAATTTGTTTGTGTTATCGAAATGAAGAAATGGGAGATGTATGACGCGTTTTGATTGGATGAGATTGAAAAAGGTGGGATGGTTGGTTTGAGAATGAGACGTTAGTTAGTTTTGGAAGAAAAAAAGATAGTCAGTTGGTTTTCAAGGGTACAAGGCGAAGGGCCGTTGTTCTCGGGTAGTTTCCCAGAGGTAGGAAGCAGTAGCAGTGAAAGTTTGTGAGTTTTCGTGTAGTTAGTGTATCTGACAGAAGCTGATCCAGTAAAAGATTGTAAGTCATATTTTTCTACTTATATTCCAAGAGTCACTGTTCAGGCCAACGAGAGATTCAGTTTATCGTAAAGAGAAGATATTCCAAGAGTCATTTTTCACTCAGGCCAACGAGAGATTCAGTTTATCGAGAGGAGAAGAGGCTAGCATAATTTGAACGATTCGTGCATTTGAAGGAGATCATTAAGGACGATAAACTTGCAACAATTTGTTGTAAGATTGCTGATTACCTAGGGAGCTGCTAAGAGTAGATAGTATAGGCTACAAGGAACAAGGATTTGGACCACTCATCATCAGAGAGAGATAGTTTTGTTTTTCTGCAGTTTTTCTTTTATTGATAACACAATTTTTACACTTACTTTAGAAAAGATATAAATATTTTGATTAGGAGA